AAAAAAAAAAAATCATAAGGAAAATACATTTACAGTATTTATTGAAAAAAATCCGTGTATAAGTGGACCCATGTAGTTCAAACCCATGTTGTTCAAGGGCCAACTATAGCTGTTCTATTTTAGAAAATATTTAGAATCTAATGATAACAATAATATTAATCTAATTTATCTACATTCTATTAGCCAGAGAATCATATAGCATCAAAGTAATCACATGATTCAACATTTCTATTTGGTACAATTCTACAAACATTTATTGAGTGTCTACTTAGCCACTGAGCACATTAAAAATAAGGCATATTTTTTGCCTTCAAAAAATTGAATAGTCTTATCAGAGAGAAAGAATGAAGTGCAAATTTAAGAGTCAGAAGTGTTACAAGATAATGCAGCCACAAAAAGCCATATGGTAACATACTAATAAGCCTGGACCTTACCCTGTAGGAAATGAATAGCCACTGAAGGGTTTTAACAGGGTAGTTAAAAGAGCAGAACTGTGGTCACGGTATGGGATAGGTGTAAACTAGGGGCACAGAGATGAGTTAGGAGGGTCTTGCAGTAGTCTTGGTAAGAGATGATAAACTGAACTGAAACTGTGGTAGCTAGATGAAATGAGTAGGATGATCCAAGAAATATACAGAGGCTAAAATCAGAAAGGCTTGGTAACTGAATGAATGGGGGGGGGGGCGGGGGGGCAAGAAGGCAGGGGAGAGACAGAGAGATCTAGGATGATTCCTGCTTCTGGCTTAGATGCCTGGATAAACGGGATGGTACTGCCGTGAAGACCAGGAATGCAGGAGGATCAGGTTTAGAATGAGAAAAGAACAATTCGGGGTGTTGTTGGGGTTTTTCTTTGGGGGGGTTTGGAAGGAAAGTATCTTTTTATTAATGTAAATAATATATATACATACCGCATTTCCCCATGTATAAGATGCACCCTTTTTGAAAAATTTGGGGTCTACAAACTGGGTGTGTCTTATACATGGGGAAATATGGTATTTATCAAAAGCAAAAAGTACCAACAACTTATAATATAAAAATTAGTCTCCTAAGCCCAGCCCCTCAAAGGAAACTTCAGTTATTTCTGGATGGTATCTCTATAATTCTAAATGTTTATGCCTCTAGTTCTTGATTTATCAATTTTACATCTGTCTAGTGATACCCTAAAGTAAACTACCAGGATATAGCAACACTTAAAATTCCCCCTTCCTCATTCTTCCTCCTCCCAGTGTTCGATAATTCTGTTATTTAAATTTTAGCTCTACTGAATAGCTTGCAGCTTCAAATAATATACTTAAACCTCTACTTCTTGCTTCATCAGCTTCAGTCACTACCTGATTCCCTCAATCTAAGCAATCCTACCCTTTCTTTCACCTCTCCCAACTCCCACATTCTGTCAACAACATTTTTATTCTGTCAAACTGATTAACATTTACTGAATTCAGTAAATCCTGTGGGTCATCCAGTGGGAAGGTCCAGCAGATGGTTGTGCAAACAAGTCTGGAGCTCGGTGGGATGTCAGGGATGGGCATTCAGATTTGGGAATTAGAAGCACACAAGTAGTCACTATAAACCACCACAATGCATGCAGGAGAATTCGGAGGGAGAACAACAGTGGGCCAAGGACAGAAGCTTGGGGAATACCAGCATTTACTGGCAGACACAAGAAGAGCCATCAAAGGGGATAAAGAGACAAGGGTGAGAGAGCAGGATAGGACAGACTAGTGTTACACAAGCCCAGGGCCGAATTTCAAGAATACATAATTCCCGAATACTCACTCAGATATCAGCCAGTATTTTTTGCAATGTCTTCTCCACAGCGGATCATGACTTGAGAGCTGACTAAGTCTTCGACTGACATAGCAACAACTGACAGTAACCAGATTCAGTTAATATAAAAGAAAATAAGAAAACAATTTAAAAATAAAGATGAAAATATTCAATGTTTTATTCTTTTCCTTTTGCTTTTTTTATTTTCCATTTTCTACCCTTATAATTGCAAAACAATATTTTCTAAAATCTGCTTAATGTGTTAGCTAATATAATTACCTTGTCAGTGCTGAAATCTTAACTATTTGAGTTCACAAATAAACTCCCAAACCTCTACTATTATAATTTTCATATGAAAGTCTATAAAACATATAAACCACTGGAATTAATTTCAAATTAAAGAGTCTTCCTACATTTATTATTGAGACAACAATCATTTCTGCATATAGGAAGAAATGTTATTCAGGTGTAAACAAAGTGCTTTTTTTTTCAAAGATCTGTGACAGTTGATATTAAATACACAGACTTTTTGTTCTAATTTTTTCTTTTTTTTTTTACACTTTATTTATGTACCTATTTTGACATTCAGTATTATTTTATAGCAATTTTGGGTGTACAGCATAGTGGTTAGACATTTATATAATTTAAGAAGAGATTCCCTTTGACTAGTTTAAATTTTTCTTAAAGGAAAGGAATACTGCAGCCAAAACCACTTTTTAATTACAGCAACTATTGGAGAGTCTACCTAAAAAAGTGTCAGATTCATAACAACTTTGTTTCAATATCCATAGCTATTCAAGTTAGTTATCAGCTGCTCAAAAACATGGAATGTTAAAAACAAATACTTTCCTTATTATATAGAGATTTCTAATACAATAGTGTACCTATCCTGAAAATCCTACCCTACATGTTTAATTTGCAAAAATAATCAACCTGAGATTAGGAAAATGGATTTCTATCCTTTCAGAAGAGGAATAACAAGTTATAGAAAGTAGGTATTTAAAGATCTCACTTGGGCAACAGCTAATCAATTAAGAAATCTCAAATCGGGCCGGCCGAGGGGCGTGTTGGCTAAGAGCTGGCTTGGGACACCAGAGGACCCCGGTTCAGATCCCACATATGAGGGCCAGTGACACTGCCCTCTACAGCAAGATGCTGAACAACAGCTCAACCTGGAGCTGGGCTCCCATGAGTCGCTGGTGATGGCTAGGCTGCAGCCCCTGCTGCAGTGGGTTGCCATGGGCTACTGTGTGTAGCCAGCAGCCAGCGTGAGCAGCCAGCAGCCACTGTTAGCGGCCGTCCAGAAGCCGGCAACTGATCTGCCTCGCCCTAGAAGAGTGCAATGATGGTGCCAACTTGGGCCAGTGAAGCAACGTCCTCCACAACTAAACTTAAGAACAAAAGGACAGCAACTTGTCTGTTCCCCTTCCCCCAATTCCCCAGTGCGGTTCCCATCCCCCAATTCCCCAATAAAAATCTTAAAAAAAAAAAAATCTCAAATCACGTGTGGTTAGTTTGTCAAGGTCATGAGTAGAGGAATGTTAAAAAAAAAATCAATGGTAAATATAATAGCCTTTGTTTGGTGTTATTTTACACAAAATTCCTTCTCATCCTTTTCTGCCAAGCTCATGAGATACCCAACTAACATCTGCAACACAGGAATCCTTTCCAGTTTTGTGATTTAGAGCACCTTCTCTCTTTTCTTGATCCTTCTCCCTCCACTGTCCCAAGAGTTAAACAACAGAAAAGAATCTCTGGAATAAGAACCAAATTTACCTAATTTGATGCACACCAAGGACAAGAGCTACTGTTCCAGAGATTGTGGCTCGGTTGGCTTGGGGTGAGATCTGTACCTCAAGCATGTGTATGTATGTTTAAAAAGTGCCACATGTAATTCTGATACACAGTGAGGGTTAAGAATGACTGGTAAACAATAAATCACCCTAGAATGGATAAGGAGATTCAAACTATGCAACTGATATTACACAATGACCCCAATGGACTAATCCAATCCCACCCAATCCAGTTCAGCAAATATGTACCAAAAGCTTCAGAGCTTAGCAATGGGCAGAATACTTGGCAAAGTTAGGCTAAATCATGCAAGAAAGAAGGTGCAGTACTTTGGGGACTTTTCTGTGGATAAAATTCGATGGTATTTGTGATGGTTAATTTTATATGTCAACTTGCCTGGACCAAGGGATTCCCAGATAGCTGGTTAAACATTATTTCTGGGTGTATCTGTGAGGATGCTTCTGGAAAAGATTAGCAACTGAATTGGTAGACTGAGTTAGCCAGATGACCCTGCCCACCGTGAGTGGGCATCACCCAATCCCTTAAGGGCCTGAATAGAACACAAAGGGAGAGGAACACTAAGCTGAGACATGGATCTTCTCTTGCCCTGGGCATTCCTGGTTCTCAGTCTTTCAGACCCAGACTGGAATCTACACCATCGTCTCTCCAGCTCTCAGCCCTCTGAATTCTATCACCAGCTTTCTTGGGTCTCCAGCTTGCAGATGACCGACAGTTGGACTTCTCAGCCTCCATAATTCATGAGCCATATAATAAACCTTATAATAAATCATATACACATACATATTGTATTGATCCTGTTTCTCTCAATAACCCTAATACAGTATTAAACTCAGCTCACTTTCAGAAACACTTATGGAGGGATCATGTCACTTCTGTTTAAAACTCTGATTACTACCTAACGCATTTAAAATAAAATCTGCTCTCTTTACCTTGGCTCACAAAGTCCTGCATGATCTCACCAGTCTCAGCTCAAGCCACTCTGCCTGTGAGTCACTCCCTACCTCCTGCAACACCAGTCTCCAAGCTCCTCCAAGAGGCCATGCTATTGTCCAATCAGCTTCTGAATATACTGTTCCCTCTGCCACAGCTGCTCTCTGGCAGCCTTCATAAATGGCAGCTCCTTCCAATTTGAATTGATCGTCCCCCCTCTCATTCCTTAACAGAGCAACTGGTTTATTTCCTTCATAGCACATAGCATCTCTTGTGTTATGTACTTATTTGCTTTCTATCTTGCCCAATAGACTAAGCTTCATGAGAGCGGCCTTATATGTCTTGTTCACTATTGTATCCCCAACATTTAACAGGCTGGCACACAGCAGGCACTCAAAAAAAAAATCTGTGAAAAAATGATGAACACAAAGATAAACAAGACAGTCTTTACTTTTCAGAAAGTGCACAATCTATCTGGCATGGCAAAAAAACTCTGCAGAGAAAAGAAGAAGGTAGAGAGAGGAATCAGAAGAGAGGGTCTTAAAGGAATTTCATCTTGCCAGATTGAGGAGGACAAGGCATACAGGCAGGGTCAAAAGCTTAAGCCACAGAAAATACAAGTGTGTGGTATGCTGGCAGAAATCTGATTTGGATAGAGTGGACTATGCCAAATGATAAGGGCATTAAATGCTTCCAGAAGTTTAGGTTATAGTCTGCAAACAAGGGGCATCATCAGTTTTTAAGGAGAATGACAGCCAGGTCTGTCTTAGAAAGAGCACTCTGGCAGCAATGTAGCCGAGAGAGAGAAAGAGAGAAAGAGAGAAAGAGAGAAAGAGAGAGAGAGAGAGAGAGAGAGAGAGAGAGAGAGAGAGAGAGAGAGAGTGTGTTGGATTTGTAATAGGCTATAGAAACAATAGTTCAGATGAAAAGATGAAAAGTTTGCAGCTGGACCCACCTTTTCCAAAGAAAAGATAAAATTTTTTTCTTTGGTTTAATACAAGCCTGAGTGATAAACTTTCTTTGTTTTAGTGCAAGCCTGAGTAGAGAAAAAATTATTTTCTTAAAAAAATTATAGTGTTACAGGTACTAATATAGACAGCAGTCAGAAACTGGAGTTATCCCTCTGTTACCGCTTAGCTAGGCCAACTAACAGCTACCAGTAACTCCAAAAGATACCGTATTTCTAAAAAGATGCCTAATGACACAGGGCACAATCATCCAATGGCTAGGATTCAATGATTAATCCAAAAAAACCAAAACAATCTCGCCTACCCATCCTTAAGAGGGCGACTTCACCTCCTCTGCAAATAAATATGTATGGTGGCTCAAGACTGAGCCATGCCACCAGCTACTAAGGGTGTAAACAGCGCCATTTCTTCCACCATCCTAGACAGTCCCAAGCGCTTTAGAAACTGGGCATTTAACCACCCTTACCAGCAACCGGTGTTTATTTTTGGAACAGATGATGGTAATCTGGGAAACCCAAAGCGTACAGGAGAGAAAACGGTCCCCTGTATCGCACCAACGGAAGTCAGTACCAAAACACAAAATCCAACATAAAATCGTGAGGAGGAAGGCTGAGAGGAAAACAATTACCCAGCATGTAAGTCCAAAAGTGCCAGATATTATGGTGCGGCGGAAATCGCACCTAGGGGTCAGGGGGTCGCCGGGCTCCTCCTCTCCGGCGCCCCACCTGCCAATTCCAGCGCCCGACTCCGCAGGCCCAGGGCCCAAAGAAGAGCGCTCGGGCCACAAAGGAGCTTTCCAAAGCGGCTAGGGCTGGGCCACATCGGGCGGAGACTGGCGGGTGCGGGGCGAGGGAGTCGGCGGGGCGGCAGCCGGGAGCAGTACCTCCCCACTTTGAACTGGGCCTCACCGAGGCCTGGGAGAGAGGGCTCTCGTCGTTCCCCATGCCTGGGCCCAGGACAAGAGGAAGACCTCAAGGCAGGGCCCTTACCGCCCCCGTCTCGCCCCGGCCCCCGGGTGGGTCTGCAGGATCAGTGAGGTCCTGGCGTCACCTTCTGGTGGACGCGGGAGTCAGGGTCTACTGTCTGCGAGCTGGGCCTCAGTCCCTCCTGCCTCACCGTCTCCTCCCGCCCCCGTAACTCCAACCCTGCCACGCGCGTCTTCCCATTACTTGATTAGGTCCCGGTAGTCCAAGAAGGATAAGATGAGGAGCAGCGGATCGGTAGGCAGCGATTCTAGGGTCAGAGGTGCCGACTCCGTCTCCACGGCCGCCATCTTGCTTGGCCCAGTGCAGACCCGGCCCCGCCCAGACCCCGCCCCGGCCCCGCCCCCGCCTCCAGCTTCCGAGCCGCTCGCACAGGTTTGTTATGTAACCTCCGGGACAGGCTCGCCCACAGGGCGGGCCGAGGGGCGGCCCCCGGGAAGGCTCCGCCCATTACCCTGGGGGCTCTGCGCCAGCGCGGTAGCAGCCCTCTGTGTCGGCTCCGGCTCGGGCTCGGGCTCCGGCTCCGGCTAGCTGCGCGACCTCTGCCGCTTGCACACGTGCTCCCTTTTCGGATCATTGGAGCTCTCTCCTCCCATTCCGCTCCCTAAACTTGCCCAGTCCGGACCTCTTCCAGTTCCAAAATCTACTGCCTTGGCCCCTCCAGACCTTCATGCGAAAATTTACACCCGGTATCCTCGAAGCCTGGCCCCAGATCTCACTAAATCTAATCTGCCCTTAGCCCCCAAATCTATTGCTTCTCTTCGTTTTACGTCCCAAGAACGCTTCTCGTACCCCCTTCAACCGTCCTCGACCCGCTTGTTCCTTGCATACAGCTAGGCGGCTCCGAGCCATTTAACACTAAGTGGGGACAGAGTTGGTAATCAGCTAGAGTCGCGGGTGAAAGGCTCTTCTCCCAAACTGGGGAAATGATCGCGGAGGGCTTAATTTTAAACCCAAGTAAAATGGTGCACAGGGACTGAATCTAAGGTCAGCGGCTGTCACTTAATTTGGTCCTCATGGCTATATTTCGGTCTCTTAGGGCAATGCAAAGTGTACTATAGTATGTGGATGTGGATTTTTTTCTTTTTAAAGATTTTATTGGGGAATTAGGGGGAGGGGAACAGCGTTAGGGAATTGGGGAAGGGGAACAGACAGGTAGACAAATTGCTGGTTTTGTTCTTCAGTCTAGTTGTGGAGGACATCGCTTCACTGGCCCATATTGGTATGATCATTGTGCTCTTCCCGGGTGAGGCAGTCGGTTGGCCGTCATTGGTCGGCTGCTCACAGCTACTCCTGGCATCTCACCGGCCGCTGACTGCCAGCTACTCAGGTAGCTCACTGCAGCCCTGCTGCAACCTACACTGTTGCCGGCGACTCACAGCAGCCCAGCTCCAGGTCAAGCTGTTGTTCATCATCTTAGCTGTAGAGGACGAACGTCAAGCGTCACTGGCCCTCAATGTGGGATCCAAACCGCAGCCCTGCTGCACAGAGCTGGCACTCCCAAGTTAGCTCTTAACCAGCTGAGCCACTCGGCCGGCCCTGTTTGTTTTGTTTCATTTTTGCCAAGATTAAATACCAAGATGTGAAGGGATGAGCCCCCGCCTCCCCTGCCACGGCCGTTATTCAGTTTTGCCAGGTGGTATGGAAGTGGGAGAAGTGTCATGGATTGTGAGCTAAAGACTACATTACTTATCTTACCTATTTCCACTTTTTCCAAAGGCAGTATGGTGTAAGGAGCTTTGGGACTCCAGTCAGACCTGTAATTCACACATCTGTCATTTACCTTACTAGAAGTAAGACAATGGACTAAATTCCATGAGCCTGTTTACTCATCTCTAAAAACTATTCCTCCCTTAAAGTGGTTTATGGATGGTAATGAAACTTTGTGTAAAGTGCCTGGCTAGATATTCAATAAATGTTCATTTCCCAAGACTATATATACATCCAACACTAAGTTTTCCAAACTTTTCCATATCCTGGAGAAAGCTTCCTCCCCATTATTTGGAAAAGTGGGAATGACTCCCCCTCCCCCCACAAAAAAAACCCACTCCATTTCCTCAATTCATCATACCATTAATGCTTTATGGTTTTGTCTAATATTTATAACCCCTCCCCCCCATACACACACACACATTTGGTATTAATCATGTTTATTTTCTGTATCTTACGATGTTTTGATATCCTCAAAACCATGCTGGCTGGGGAGAAATTGCACTCTCCAGGGCGCTAGCTAATTCCTAAAGATAGCAAACCAACTTACTTGGGAGTACACCTCTCATGTGCAAGCCAACTACCTCCTTTATCTAACTCTCACACACAGCAAGCTAATATTTCCCCTGCTTTAAATTATCTGAGGGCCAAGTACCAGGCAACTAGAGAACAACCCTATAGGCCAAATCCCACCATTTATTGCCCAAACTAGCCAATTCTAAGCTGTTTGCTTTGCCCTGCCTTCCCAGTGGAAACCCCAATAAAGTCTGGTTTAAACTTTCCCATTGCTTCTGCTTCTGCCTCCTAACCAAAACCTGATTCTTCCACTGTGGCCCTTTGTGGTGTGCTGTGTCCCCTTCTCCAGGGACATGGACGTAATAAATTCTTCTTTCAATGGAATTGGCTTTGCCATGTCATCACTCAGTCAACCTCCATAAATTAAACTCACAGATCCAAATGAGACACTCACCCAGCAAAAAAACAAAAAACAAACACAAACCCCTCTGCTTACATCTCTGTGCTTTTTATGCATAATATGTTTATGCACATATCTAGACATTTATTGAATTATATTCAGGTCTGTTGCTTCTTGTTTGTCTCTCTCACCAGAGTGTAAATTCTGTCATTTTTATCCTTGTAACCTCAGGGCCTAGCATAGCATTCAACAAGTAGAAAGTTTAAATTCAGTTTGAATGAATTAAGACAGTCATTTCTGTTACAAGGGAACTGTATATACATATATATATATATATATATATATATATATGGTCTTAATTCATGTTTGTCCTCTATTTCTCCCTCAGATGGGCTGCTTTACT